CTGCACTGCCTCTCCTGACCTCCCTGCAACTCCACACCAACTCTCTGTATCTCCGTGGTGCACACAGCCTCTCCTGACCCCCTCCACCACCTCTCTCTCCATGCACCGCATCTCTCAACCTTCCTGCATCGCCACACCAGCCCTCACAGCACAGCATCTCCCAACATCCCTGCACTGCCACACAAGATCTATTAGTACAACCTCTCCCGACCACCCTGTACCTCCCTGCAATGCGTCACTCGACCTGCCTGCACCACCACACCCGACCTATCTGCACCGCCTCTCCCGCCCTCCCTGCACTGCCACACCCGACCACTTGATACCGCCTCTCTCGACCTCATTGCACCACCTCTTCCAATCTTCCTGCACCGCAACACCCGACCTTTCTATACTGCCTCTTCCAACCTTCCTGTACTGCTTCTCTCGACCTCTCTGCACCGCCACACCCAACCTCGTGCACGTCTCTCCCAACCTCCCTGCACCGCTTCTCACGACCTCTCTGCATCGCCACACCCGACCTTCGTGTACCGCCTCTCTCGACCATTCTGCATCGCCTATCGCGACCTTCCTGCACCACCTCACCCGACCTTCCTGCACCGCCTCTCGCAACCTCCCTGTGCTGCCTCTCCCGTCCTCCCTGCACCGCCTCTCTCGACCTCTCTGCACCGCCACACCCGACCTTCGCTCACCACTTCTCCCAACCAGTTTGCACCATCTCTCTCGACCTCCCTGCACCGCCACACCCCACATCTTGGCACTGCATCTCCCGACCCCCCTGTACCGCATCTCCCGACCTCGCTGCACTGCCACATCCGACCACTTGATACCGCCTCTCTCGACCTCATTGCACCACCTCTTCCGATCTCCCTGCACCGCCCACACCCGACCTTTATATACCGTCTCTTTCGGCCATTCTGCATCCTATCCCGACCTCCCTGCACCGCCTCTCCCGACATTGCTACACTGCCTCTCCCAACCTCCCTGCGCTGCCTCTCCCATCCTCCCTGCACTGCCTCCCTCGACCTCTCTGCACCGCCACACCCGACCTCCATGCAAGTCCTCTCCCAACCTCCCTGCACCGCTTCTCTCGACATGGGTTCTTCTCTCGATCTTCGTTTAACGCCTCTCCCTACCATTCTGCATCGCCAATCCCGACCTCCCTGCACCACCTCTCCCGACCTTCCTGCACCGCCTCTCCCAACCTCCCTGCGCTGCCTCTCCCATCCTCCCTGCACCACCTCTCTCGATCTCCCTCCACCGCCACACCCAACCTCTAAGTACAGCCTCACCTGACCTCCCTGCTCCATCACACCCAACCTCCGTGCACCGCCTCTTCCGACCTTCCTGCACTGCCTCTCTCAACCTCTCTGCATCGCCACACCCGACCTCCATGTACGTCCTCTCCCAACCTCCCTGCACCGCTTCTCCTGACCTCTCTGCATCGCCACACCCGACCTTCGTGTACCGCCTCTCCCGACCATTCTGCATCGCCTATCCCGACCTCCCAGCACCTCCTATCCCGACCTTCCTGCACCGCCTCTCCTAACCTCCCTGCGCTGCCCCTTCTGTCCTCTTTGCACCACCTTCCTCTACCTCTCTGCACCACCACACCCGACCTTCGTTCACCACCTCTCCCGACCTTCCTCCACCGCCTCTTCCGGCTTCCCTGCACCACCACTCCCAATCTCCCTGCACCGCCACACCCGACCTCCCAGCACCTCCTCTCCCGACCTTCCTGCACCGTCTTGTCCAACCTCCATGCACTGCCTCTCCCATCCTCCCTGCATCACCTCTGTCGATCTCCCTCCACCGCCACACCCAACCTCTAAGTACAGCCTCACCTGACCTCCCTGCTCCATCACACCCGACCTCCGTGCACCGCCTGTCCCGAACTTCCTGCACTGCTTCTTCCGACCTCCCTGCAATGCCTCTCCCAACCTCTCTGCACCCCCTCTTCAGACCTCCATGCACCGCCTTCCCCACCTCTCTGCATCACCACACCCGACCTCTAGGTACCGCCTCTCCCGACCTCCCTGTACCGCATCTCCCGACCTCTCTGTACCGCCACAAAAAACCTCCCTGAATCGCCACTCCTAACCTCTGCACCGCCTCTCCCGACCTCCCTGCACTGCCTATATCGCCTTTGCACCGCCACCCCGGCCTCCCTGCAGAGCCACACCCGAACTCTCGGTAACGCCTCATCCGACCTCCCTGTACTGCATCTCTCGACCACGTTGCACCACCTCTCTCGACCTTTCTGCACCAATTCTCTTGATTACCATGCCCCGCCACACCCGACATCTATGCACTGCCTCTCCAAACCTTCCTGCACCACCTCTCCCGACCTCCCTGCACCCTCCCTCCCAACCTATTTGCACTGCCACACCCGACCATTCTGCATCACCTATCCCGACCTTTCTGCACCCCCTCTACCGACCTTCCTGCATCGCCTCTCCCAACCTCCCTGCACCACCTCTCCTGACCTCCCTGCACCCTCCGTCCCAACCTATTTGCACTGCCACACCCGACATCCCTGCACTGCTTCTCCCGACCTCCTTGCACTGCCACACCCGACCTCCCTGCACCACCTCCCTTGACCTCCCTGCACCGCCACACCAGACCTCTCGGAACCGCCTCTCCCAACTTCCTTTTACCTCACCTCCTGATCTTTCTGCACAGCAAAACTAGACCTCCTTGCACTGCCTCTCCTGACCTCCCTGCACAGCCACACTGGACCTCTCACTACAGCCTCACTTTACCTCTCTGCTCCATCACACCAGACCTCCCTGTACAACCTCTCCCGACCCCCCTTTACCACCTCTCCCAACCTCCCTGCACCGTCTCGCCCAAGCTCCATGCACCGCCTCTCCCAACCTCCATGCACCGCCACACCTGACCTTTCAATACTGCTCTCCCGACCTCCCTGCACAGCCTCTCCCGACTTTCCTGCACCACCTCTCTCGACCTCCCTTCAACGCCTCTCCCGACCTCTCTGCACTGCCTCTCTCGACCTCCCTGCAACTCCACACCCACTCTCTGTATCTCCATGGTGCACACCGCCTCTCCCGACCTTCCTGTACCACCTCTTCTGCCCTCCCTGTGCCGCCTCTCATGACCTCCCTACACTGCCACACCCAACCTCTCTGCACTGCCACACCCACTCTCTGTATCTCCGTGGTGCACACAGTCTCTCCTGACCCCCACCACCTCTCTCTCCATGCACCGCATCTCTCGACCTCTCTGCATCGCCACACAAGACCTCACAGCACAGCCTCTCCCAACATCCTTGTACTGCCACACAAGATCTGTCAGTACAACCCCTCCCGACCTCCCTGTACCGCCTCTCCCGACCACTTCATACCGCCGCTCTTGACCTCATTGCACCACCTCTTCCGATCTTCCTGCACTGCCACACCCGACCTTTCTATACCGCCTCTTCGACCTTCCTGCACTGCCTCTCTCGGCCTCTCTGCACTGCCACACCCGACCTCCATGCACGTCCTCTCCAGACCTCCCTGCATCGCCTATCCCGACCTCCCTGCACCGCCTCTCCCGACTTTCCTGCACCGCCTCTCCCAACCTCCCTGTGCTGCCTCTCGTGTCCTCCCTGCACCGCCTCTCTCGACCTCTCTGCACCACCACACCCGACCTTCGTTCACCACCTCTCCCAACCTTCTTCCACCGCCTCTTCCGACCTCTCTGCACCACCGCTCCCGATCTCCCTGCACTGCCACACCCGATCTCTCTGTACAGCCTCCCCCGAACTCCCTGCACCGCCACATCTGACCTCTCGGTACCAGATCTGTCGATGTACCGCTTCTCCCAACCGATTTCCACCATCTCTCTCAACCTCCCTGCACCGCCACCCCCCACATCTTGGCTCCGCATCTCCCGACCCCCTGTACCATATCTCCCGACTTCCCTGCACTGCCACATCCAACCTCCATGCATGTCCTCTCCCAACCTCCCTGCACCACTTCTCCCGACCTCTCTGCATCGCCACACCGG